AAACGGCATATATGGCTTTGGATAAAAGCGTCTAACAAGTGACATGTAATGTGTATGACAGCTTCTGGTTTTGGGCATTCTGGCTACGCATCACTCATTCACCAATGGGTAATGTTTAGATGGATTTTAGGAACTTTCCTCTCGATTCTATTGGCTCTAACGGTTAAAAAGAGGTGTCAATCATCAAAATCGACAGACGGGGGCCAGAGATATGGAAAATGCACCCAAATGACCCCAGAAGTGTGTTTTCTTTTCTAAATCTCTCTAAAAAGGTCAAATTTAGTGGGAATGCTTTCCAACTATCTGTTATGCTACGCACAAAATTCTTTATTATTCCGCCGGGTTATTTTGCACCTCTTCTCCTCCCACATTGAACATCGCAGAAACTCCGTTCAAACATCAAAATGTTCAGCTCGGTCGTGAATCGATGGCTATTACTTGTATTATTCATAACTTTCATGATTCCAGAGATACATCCCATAATTCATCACATTGTTAACATGGAAGTCAATGGAGAAACTCTTCAGACTTTAACAATCTTCATGCAACTTCAACTGCTAACTGCTCCTTCATACTTTCACTCAGAAACCTCATTCCAACTTTAAAATGTTACACATCTCTCTGACATTATGTAACACAACTTTTAAATCTGATTTGTATTTTTAGAGATATTAAACATTGTTCAGACCTTGGTAAAGAGACTTTCTTCCGATTTTAGAGTGCGTGATGTCACAGAGTGGAGGACAGATTTAATTTTGCCTTCATATTGTCTTTTAAACCTGCCATAATTCCCAAACCCAACATTCCTGAGACATAATTTTTCATGAGAAACGTAGGAAAACATCCTGTAGCTTGGAAAATAAAAATAAATTAAGTAAAAATAATTAAACAAAATGCCTCTGGAGGGTATGAAGCAGAGGTGGGACCAAGTCATTGTTTTGCAAGTCCGAGTCAAGTCTCAAGTCTTTGCGCTCAAGTCCGAGTCAAGTCTCAAGTCATTGTTTTGCAAGTCCAAGTCAAGTCTCAAGTCAGGATGGGCAAGTTCAAGTCAAGTCAAGTCCTAAACTTTGACAAAACGAGTCATAAACAAGTCATTATGTGTTTTTCACCAAATGTAATGACATCGATCAACAGAATAATACTTAATAATCAAACTGCTCTTTATTAGTCACATTAATAATTTAATAATCAATTTTCTCTCTGCTGGTAAAGTAACGTGTGTTTTTCTAATTTAAGAGGGATCAGTAAGGTAAGGCTACCGTGACGGTTTGATTCAGAAGGAGTTTAATGTATAAGATCCCTGATGTTGAGGTAACCAGAATGTTTATTTCCACTGTGTACAACATGTTATGAGGGACCCACAATCTATCTTTATGCAAGGGATAATGTGCAGCGAGGTGGTCTCTATGGGGGAAAGAACACCTGCATCTAGATCCCTCTGCAGGTGGTACTTTAAGTATATTTTGATGCTAATACTTTTGTACTTTTACTTGTAACATTTTGAATGCAGGACTTTTTATTGTACAAGGTTCCTGCAGGTTTCGCCAACTCAAATAACACCTTTTTAAGACCACTTTGAATAGAATTTAAGACCTATTTCACGGCAATAAAGTATGAAGGAAAATGTATATAAAGAAGAAATACGTCCCATAATCACTTACAAAGTAAATGTATTCATGTTCAACATAAGAACAGTGACTGAACATAACAGCATAACAGTACAGAACTGTGTTAGCGTGTTAGACAAAAAGTGTGTATGTGTGTGCGCTTGAGTGTGTGTGTGTGTGTGTGTGTGTGTGTGTGTTAGGGCTGTGCAATTAATCATATTTTAATCGCAATTACGATTTTGGCCTGCCACAATTACGAAAACAACATAATCGGAAAAAACGATTATTTTGCTTTGCTAGGTTGTGACAGTGCACCACAACATATTTGATCTAATTAATCTTTTAGTAATGTATCATTTATTTAATTAATTTTTGTATTGGTTTTTCAGTTGAATTATACGTTCAGGGTAATCAACAGTTAAAAAGATACTGTTCAAATTATTATTTGTTTTAAAGTTCAATAAATGGATGTTTTCAAAGTCAATGAATAATCATATTTAATAATCGTGATATTAATTATTGACCAACATAATCTTGATTATTGCCATAATCGAGCAGCCCTAGTGTGTAGCGTCTACAGCACCTCCGCTTTTAGGGTTGACGTAGACCCAAACTTCGCCCGGAGGTCCCCCGGTGTTGTTGCGGGAGCTGCTGCATTAGCTGCTGCTGCACTAGCTAACGCTACATTAGCTGCTGCTGCACTAGCTAACGCTACATTAGCAAAACAAACACTAATTTCTTTTGCAAAAGGTGCAGCGGGCTTCAAACACGTTCCCCTCCACTGGTTTCAACCAAGCACTAAATTAGATGTTTTCCAACCAAATACGGTTGAACTTACACTTCCCCATATTTATTTGTAAGTAGATTCGAAGATAGGCTACATGAGCTGAAGCTTGGTTGCTAGGTTACTAGCTGGGTGTTCTCCAATAAGGGGCCGGGGGAAACAAAGTTAGTGATTACTGGTTCCATGTTGATTTAATTCAATACAAATTGTTGGGGGGAACTGAAAGGCTATTACCGTACTGGTTACTTTGCAGCCCGGACATTTCCCCCAAAACACATTTAGACGCTATCGCAACATAGAAGTACCTTTCAAATCCGATAATTTTTAAGACCTTCTGAATCATATTTAAGACCTTTTTAAGGCCTTCAATTCTGATTATCAAATGTAAGACTTTTTAAGACCCCGCGGGAACCCTGATTGTAACTTTTTTTAATTGTCTGAACTTCTCCCACCTCTGACAATAAATCCTGAGTGGTTACCAAAAAAACCCCTGCTCTGAAGGTTATTTTCATTTTTACAAATCCTGCACTCAGCTTTGCTTTCTCCAATATCATTGAAAAGCAGCCAGATGCTGCTTCTTTTTTCGGTTTTCGCTCATTTCTTGACTTTTTCCGACGCGCTTGCATTTCAATCCGGCTCCCCGTCTCCCCGTCGCTCTGTGCAGCTGGCCTGTACCACTACACATGCTGTGCCCCCCACCCTTCTTTCACATAATGGTATGATCCTAGTGTGTCCTCGCATATGATTGGCCGCATGGTGGCCCAGCTAAATAAAGACCCGCCCCTGCCTGCAAGGATTCTCAGCAAGAGTAGGAGCGGCTGAAGATTCTGCTTTCCCCGACGGGAGTCTGCTCTTCTAGCGGCAGCTCGCGATCGGCGTGTTGGAGACCTCTGAATTAAAGTAGCAAGTCACCTCAAGTCAGAAGGCTCAAGTCCAAGTCAAGTCCCGAGTCATTGGTGTTCAAGTCCAAGTCGAGTCGCAAGTCTTTTGTGATGTTGTCAAGTCGAGTCTCAAGTCATCAAATGTGTGACTCGAGTCTGACTCGAGTCCAAGTCATGTGACTCGAGTCCACACCTCTGGTATGAAGTGACACAAACTTTCAACATGTCTCCATTAAAGCCCATTGTAAGTTCAGCCTCATCTTTCCCCACCACAGCAGCCGCACACCTTTAGTTAATCTGCCAAAAAGGCTACATTATTAACCCGAAAGTACACAAAAGGTACACTTCAGATGCTCAAGTTCCTTGACATGCTTCACGCTTTGAAATTTCACCGATATCTGTTACGGTTCTTCCACAAAATTTTCACAAGTAAGAAGTTTATCTCATTCAGAACAATGAAAATGCTCTCCTCTCACTGATTACTGCACATCACCATGAAAACCTTTGATCTCTGGACACCTCGTTAGCTCAAATATAAACACCTGTGTAATGGAACACGATGATGTCATCACTCCAACTGACATGCTCAGAGCAGCAGACTTCAGATAATGGTTAACGGTCCTGCCCTCAACAGCTCTATGTCAATTATGGGGTGTCATCATATGCCGTTTCCATGGCGAGGGATGCGTATCCCTCGCCATAAAAGACGATGTGGCTATAACTCCTATGAAAATATTCAAAAAGTGCTCAAACTTCACATGTGTGATAACAGTCCAACCGTGAAGACATCTACGGGACAGTTTTGAGATTTCTTCAAATGCTGTTGCCATGGCAACAATGCTCACCATGAAACACGGTTTTCTCATAACTTCAGTGAAAATGCTCCAAACGGCCCAAAACTTCACAGGTTTGGTAAAGATGCAGCCATCAACGCATCTAAGCGTATTATGGAATGTCATCAAATGCCGTTGGCATGGCGACAGATCATTCGCCATCAAGTTAGTTCAAAAGTTTGCAGTTCAAAGATTCTGCTGCTTTTCCAAGCCTTTTTACTTTATTTTCTTTTTCCAGTGTTCATTTATCATTTCAATCTAAATTATTCACTTTCTTCTTACACATTACATTTCAGCATAGCAGTTTAGCGTCAGCTTTTCAGCATAAAGCATTCCCACTAGCAATTTCTTCAGGAATTGCATTCTCTAGTTTCACTTGTTTTGCATCAATCTTGAAACAGGGTACTTAATATATGTTATAGTTTGGATTCCTAAAGCTTTTAGTCTACTATCCCATCATTCAAGGGTGATTTTCACAATAAGTAATGTTTTATTTTTGGACGGACAGTAACATTTACATTTTTTTACTATGTTCAATCTGAATTTACTTTAAAATAAGAAAATTCTATATTGATTCTGACTTTTCTACATCCAACTCACAGGTTTATCATTGCTTTGAGAAAAAAGATTATTAATTTACCCCTTTTAGAAGTGAAGGTATAGTCAAAAAATGTACACCGCTTACAGCATTCGTACGTATTTTCAACAGGAAATGCATTTTCTCTAACACACACACACACACACACACACACACACACACACACACACAACACACCACACACACACACACACACACACACACACACACACACACACACACACACACACACACACACACACACACACACACTGGCTTTTTCTTGTCTCTAACACTTATCTTTCTGTTTCCTCTCAGACGACACACACCATGACCTGCTGACATCATCACACATCCCCTTTTACTCTCCTAAAAAATGGCTTCGCCCAGCTGGTTTTCACCGTGGCGACGGTCGCTGCTGCTTATCCTTGCTACCTGTTTCCTGTCTGAGTTCGCCTCCAGCACGCACTTCCCCAGAGACCTGGAGCCAATAAGTGTGGTCGGCTCGGCACGTGAGTGGACTGTTTGAGGGTTAAAGAGATGTTAATGCTGTAATGGTCAGAAACGTTGCTATTAGAAACAATGCACAATGTGTTCTGGAAGTAATATGGTCTGTGTTTACATTAGCAAGCATTGCTAACACTCAGAGCTAAGCTGTACTGGAGAGAGTATGTGTAAAAAAGCAGAAAAGAAAAAAACTCACCTTGTCGTAAACTCGTGAGAGAAAAAGCATTTGAGCTCCATACTGTTTCAGAAATAATCCTTGAAGTGGTTTGGAGCATAATATGGTGGGGGCATAAAAAACGTAGATGTCTATATATAAGCTTCTGCAGTGAGGTTCATGGCTGGTGAGGCACTGGCACTGACTCTTCAGGTTTACAAATATTATATTTTGACCTAAATCAAAATATAATATTATTTTCAAAAGCCTCTTTAGTCTGATGCTTCAATTAATTTTAAACAGACAGTTCAACAGAAGGATACCCAAAAAATGTAATTTTATCATTTAAATATTGAATTGTTCTCTCTTAGTAAGATCCCATTTTCAATAAAATGATGGTCTTACCTTGACTTGAAGATGAAGTCCATTTGCCTATCCTTCTGGACAAAAATCTCTATTACTTTTTTGTAAAAGTCCTCCTTATGTTCTTGTAGTTTCAAAAGTCTATCATAAATCTAAATGATGGATTTATGATTCGAAAATGATAAAAGTAGGGTAGACATGTGGATATTATCCGGCTGAACAAAACCTGCATTTATCTAACAGGTTTGTTTCCCACAGACCTTATTTGGAGCTATTTTCTAAAATCCTATGGAGAAATCTCATTGCTTTTTTGTGGAGGAAGCCATGCGCAGCTTACTTCCTGGTTTTAGGATGCGTCTCTCTCCTCCTCTTCACCTGCTCTTCACACACCACACTTTTCGCGGCACACGTACTTACAGCCAATCAGCTCTGAATGATGTGAGATGACGTATGGTGGGGATGGCAGCTCTATGCCCCTATGCTCATTATTTTTTGCCACACACATTAAATAGGAAAATACTCTGAGCATGCGCAGTGTAGTTTTTACAGTCACCGTTCACTTAGACTGTGAGAGGGAGGGGCATGATCGGGTTTTGTCCCACATGGCTCTAAACAGCTCAATAGGCACACACTGTAGACACTAATTAGAAGAACACAGACTAAAACAGCAATGTACAGACGAATCAGATGATTAAACATGATCTTAAAATATATTTTATATATATTTTAATTTATTTTTTGCATTTTGTTGTAATCATTATTTTAATACTTTCTGCTGACACTAGGTGGGGCTGTGCCCCACCTGCCCCTAATGACCAGTCGCCACTGGTGAGGAGACACAGAATCGATCGGTACCTACATTATCACTCCATGATAAGAACTCACGACTTTATAAACAAAAACAGACATCAAAACACGTGGCGCTAGGTAGTTAAAACGGCAAAATGGCTTACCTTTGTCGTTGTCTGGTCAAAAGTGGTCTTCAATGGCATTAAAACGATAACAACGCTGCTGAAGGTTAATCCATAGGTTAATCCAATGTGTCTGTGTCCCTTTGAAATGATTTCTGATAATCCATAAGCAATAAACCGACTGTTCCGTTTTCAAATGTCAGAGCGAGAGATAGGTTCGCTCTGGCCAAAACTGCATGTACGAAGCCCCCACTTTTTTTTGTTAACGTTGGTGTGTATGTGGAAATTCGCTGTTGATTCTATTGGCTCTAACGGTTAAAAAGAGATGTCAATCACCAAAATCGACCAATGGGTTCCAGAGAAACGGCAACAACGCCCATTTCCACCCAAATCACCCCCAGAGGTGGAGTTATTTTTGCTAAACCTCTCTAAAAAGGTCAAATGTCACTTGTCTTGATACAGGGTACTTATTATATGTTGTACTTTGGATTCCTAAAGCTTTTAGTCTACCATCCCATCATTCAAGGGTGGTTTTCACTTTAAGTAAAAAAGATTTTTTGGACGGACACCATCATTTACAGTTTTTTACTATGTTCAATCTGAATTTTCTTTAAAATAAAAAACATCTATATTGATTCTGACTTTTCTACATCCAACTCACAGGTTTATCATTACTTTGAGAAAAAAGATTATTAATTTAAACCCTTTTAGAAGGGAAGATATGGTCATTTGTTCTGGGAATGTCATTTTCGAGCCTGAGACCTGAAAAACAGGGATGGGGTTCAACAGGTTAAGAACACGTCATAACGTCCAGTCCTTCACGAATATTCTCTTTCAGCAGTTTTATGCTTCATATTTTTAAATAATGATTTATACATTATGCAGAAAAAACAGTAGCAAAAATAATTTTGATACATTTCAGCTTGGCGAGAAATTCTCAAACGATTCTACCGGATAGCTCGTAGCTTCCTGTTTTAGCAGCCCTGATGGAAGCTGTAGTACTAAACATCAGAACATAGTCCTACAATTCTCTGACATTACTAAGGCTCAGATTGTACCAGCAACATGGTTCTCCTGTCCTCAAAGACCTATTCTGTCTGTTGGGGATTCACTCTGCTCTCTGTCTGCAGAGGCGTACCAGTTTCCAGGCTTCCAGGGTCTGCTTCAGGACAACGACACCCTGCGTCTGGGTCTGGACTTTCAGAGGCTGCTGCGCATCAACCACATGCTGTACATCGCTGCCAGGTCACACACACACACACACACACACACACACACACACACACACCACACACACACACACACACACACACACAACACACCACACACACACACACACACACACACACACACACACCACACACACACAACACACACACACACACACACACACACACACACACACCACACACACACACACACACACACACACACACACACATTGACATGCAAACACACACACACACACCCCACACACCACACACACACACAAGGTCAACCTTAAGGCCCATGGCCCAGCACCTCACCCAACAGCTTGCAAAGATAATAACTAGCTTTCACACTATTCTATGCCGCTTTACAGAAGTACACTTTCAATAACAAAGGGACCTGTGGACTGAAGCGTCTTAATATTGTCCGTTTCCAGCAGCGGCACTCACAGCAGGGATTTGGTTGTAAGAATATTAACAGTACCAAAATGTTCAATCCAAAAAAAGCTGATGCAGAGGGAAGGTTAAAGATTAAATGAGGGCTCAAAGTGAGAGCCTGCATGCCAACTTACTGCGGCACATCGGCACCATCACGGAGCTGTGACACAGCCTGCATTCACACACTGCGACCAGCCCTATCCAAACCCTTTCTACGTCTCTGAAATAATGAGTGACAAGCTGAGATAAGCCTAACCCTCTGAGGGTAACCATAATGCTGTGGCTGAAATTGAGTTTGCGCCACTCTAGATCAACAATTCCCAGTGTTTTGTTCCTTTGAATGTTAAAAATGCATTCTGGAAATTGAGAAAATTACTTGCTTCATTAGAAGTAGATCAAATCTGGATCCTAAACCTATAAAAGACACAGTATGATACTTGGGTTAAATTCTGGATTTGACAAAAACAAGCTCTCAGGAAACACAGGCAGTCGCACACTGAGCACAACATGTATTCTACCAGATCTTCTGATGAGTGCACCTGTGCTCTGACCTCTGTAGGGATCACGTGTTTGCAGTGAACCTGACGACAGCTTCAGAAGAGTTTTTCCCTCAGCTGGTGAGTATATTCAATTCAAAACCTTTATTTATCCAGGTAAAATCCCATTGAGATCAATGATCTATTTTTCAAGGGAGACCTGCAGGTTTATAAAATAAAACGATTATTCTGTGTTTTTCGCTTCTTGAAAACAGATTTGTGAGAGACGCGTTTCACCTCTGGGTTTGAACATACGCTGGAGCTTTGAATTTCTAAACCACAGAAAAAAACGTTTTCCTAGATGATTGTTTCTATTTAAGCAATGCATTTATGAAACTCCACAGTAATTACAATTCTAAACTAAACACTTGATATCATTTTTCATATTTTGTTTTAAAACAGAGGTTAAAGAAGCTTCCTATTTTAATCTGTGCCAGTGGAGTTAGCTGCTCAAAGGTTAACGGATGCACACAGACCCGAGACATACTAAGGATTCTGAATATGAATTGCATGGCTATAAATGTTATATCATGCTAACTCACCATGACCTGTGCTGTAAGGGTCAGTGTGTTCATGACAAACTAACATGGTTCCTCATGCAGAATACACAGTATGTAGATTGATGCATGCATGATCTGCCCTCACCATTCAGGGTCAACACCTTCATCCTTTTGGCATATCGAGGAATACCATTTAGTTGATGAACTATCCTAACAAAAATATATATATATTCTGTATAGTTAAGTTCATGACAACTGTGAGGGGGGGAATTTTTTCACAACTAGTCTTTTTAACTTATGTTAAAGGTGGGATAGGTAAGTTTGAGAAACTGGCTCGCGATACACTTGTTGTTATATTCCATGGAATGCTCTTAACATCCCGATAGCAATGAATATCTGAAGTGCTTTGACAACAAATCCATAATAAAATGTCATCTGTGGAAGCCGTAGTACTGTAAAAAAGCCGGCCCGGCTAAAATAACTGGATGGCCTACCTGCCTGTCAGCCTTCCATCTGTGCACAAACTTATCTCGTGCCCTCATTGGTCATGTGCGCGTTCGCTCAAGCTGGTTTCTCCAAAATTACCTACCCCACCTTTAAGGCTATATTACAGCCTTATTTCATATAAGCCTTTTTCTCATCTGAACCTCTGTCTGGCGACTTAGGTCTGCTAATTGTCTGAGTTCCTAAGTGTCAGACGCTTTCTCAGACTGGAAATACTTTCTTTAGTTGAGCCGAGGTTAAAGTGTGGGAGGAAGCTGGTATTACACCACCGTAATGTAGCCACTTGTAATTTGGTAATTGAAGCCTGGTATCTTCTTAGTCAGAAGTTTCAACCTTTTAGCCTCTGGTAAGAAATGTTTTCTGGCGGACAAAAAGACTAACAAAGCTTAACCACAGTGGCTAAAATCTACCAACATCCCAGATGTATCTGTGCTGCTCCTCTGATTTTGACTCACATACTGTAAGCATCTCTCCCTAAGAGTGGCGAGAGCAGCATCAAAGCTGGCGGCTGACAAACTGCAGAATATCTTTTGCAGAAAAAGCAGTAACTACCAGAGCAGCAGAACAAACCAGAGCATCTTGTGAAGTGGGAAGCAGCACAGAGTGCCTTTCATCTGCAAACCTCTTCCTCATCACAGACAGTGAAGTTTACAGGGTGGCACCTGAGGTCATGGGCCTCTCTGTCTATTGTGTCTCCAGCAGCTCTTTGAAGTGAGATGTGACTTTATTTATCAGTGATCAGACATCAGCAGCGCAGCTGAAGTCCACCTTCTGCATTTCATTCTCCCTCTCTGTGTGAGAAATGTTTTGAATGTTTCAGGTATAACAGGTCCAACTGAGACAGGATCAGGTTACTCACAGAATAAGTCATTTTCTGCCACTATGTGTCTCCAAACCAATCAATGCCAATTTACGTCATAAAGTGGGAGTTGTTGCTTCACCATCATTGTGGTCTTTACAGTCAGAGAGCAGTTATCCACATAGCTCTCCCCCGACACAAACAAATTCTACATTTTCTTTTGAATAATTAATGTCTTTAAAAGTGTATTTTACCACTGGATGAAAAGCTTTTAAACAACACAGCTGACGCTTACTAAAAGGAGATGCAATGCCACTTCAGGCGACCAAATGTTGACCTTGATTGAAACTCAAACATCTCATCATGATTCATTTTTATTTGTGATCAAAAATCACAATCACAAGTAGAATTATACTCTCTTATTGTCTGTCTGTCTGCTCACGGTGAATGAATAAGTTCATATCCTGTCAGATTCAGATCTGTGCTGTACTCTGTGTTTCAGAAGCTGACATGGCGATCTGAAGACGTCAGCAAGTGTACGGTCAGAGGAAAGAATAGCGTGAGTTTCTTCTGCTTTTCCCTTCTTTTCTTTCCACCCCCTTTTGGCTTTTTTACCTCATAACTTCCTGTTCCTCTACCATGTCCGGTTTTCTTATACTGCAGTTTAATTTGAGTATTTATGGACGAATGGTTTAAAAAAATGCTAAATATGAAGATGAAATCATCTTACACATTTGTTATTTGTGAACAGCAGAGACTCTGTAAACTAGTGTTTCATCTCAAGCCGCACGATTTGGAAAAAAAACCTAATTCTGATTAAATGTAATGATATTCAATTGCAATATGATATGATACGCAGCTGGTATTACACCACGTCATGTAGCCGCTCGCAATTTGGTAATTGAAGCCGGGTCTCTTCTTAGTCAGAAGTTTCAAACTTCTTAGCCTCTCTGGTAAGACATTTTTCATCCCATCCCAGATGTCATACATCCCAGATGTATCTGTGCCGCTCCTCTGGTTTTGACTCACATAAGCATCGTTCCCTAAAAATGGCGAGAGCAGCATCAAAGCTGACGGCTGACAAACTGCAGAATATCTGAGCAGCAGAACAAACTAGAGCATCTCGTGATGTGAGAGGCAGCACGGAGTCCCTTTCATCTGCAAATCATCCTTCTCACTAGCTTTGAAAAATATATTAAATTGATCATAGTGCAATTTTGTTCCTTACCAAACAAAATAAGGTAAGTCTGTAGCAATACGATGTTTAGGCCAGCATATCTGTGCAGTTCTACAAAATTAATTCTAAACGATATTAAACGCATATTTACCATATTGCAATTACAACAAGATGTGGAATAATTGTGCAGCCCTAGTTTCAACCCTGACAGTCGTGATCAATAAGTGTTTATAGAGAGTAGAAGACACTTTTTTGGTTTGTTGGGTTTTAGGACGAGTGCTACAACTACGTCAAAGTGCTGGTGCCGCGAGATGACGAGACGCTGTTCGCCTGCGGTACCAACGCCTTCAACCCCACCTGCAGGAACTACAAGGTGAAGTAACTGTCAGTGCTGCGGTAGGCTGCACACTGAATATATACCCCACATCTGTTCTAACACATCATCTTCCACCAGGGGTGTCCATTTTTATTTGGCCCTCAGCAAATTCAGAAAGTATGGCCCTGTCTTAGACTCTTTCCCCCAGCTCCATACACATCTATTCTCTTGTAATGGTTTGTCTTAATATCTGAACAGAGAAGAACAGGAAATACACTGCAGACTATCCTTTTCCCGAGAAAAAAAAACTAAACCAAAATAAATTCAGGATAAATTACATACGCAAACCAACATACTAAAATGTTTCCTCTTCTATTTAAATAATTCTTTTTTCATGGTACAATTTTACTTTGAAATAGTAAGTACATACTGTTCTTATTACTTTATGTTGCTGTTTCTTGCAACAATAAACAAAGTAGATGTAGCTTATATATTTACTTTACAGAATGTAATAACAACAAGAGTGTATAGGTGTGTTCATGGGCGTAATTTTCACTGGGGACAGGGGGGGGACATGTCCCCCCACTTTTCAAAATCCCGTTTGTCCCCCACCCCACTTTTCAAATGTGTTTATTATCATTTCTTACGTAAGGCGGTCATCGTCTGTGTGTGTAGAAAGAGAGAGAGAGAGAGAGCAGAGAGAGTAGAGAGAGGAGAGAGTAGAGAGAGCAGAGAGAGCAGAGAGAGCGAGAGGAGATGATTACGAAGAGAGAGAGCGCGAGAGCATAGACATCGAGAGAGAGAGAAAGAGAGGAGAGACGGGGTTTGTTGGTTGTTGTTAGCATCTGGTGCTAGCTCGGAGCTAACGGAGATTAGAAGCTGCTTCAACAATAAGGAGAGGGAGAGTCCTCTCCTGTGACTGAGAGCGATAATGTCAAACGGTTTGGTCATCTATGTAAACAAATATTTCCATCTATCTAATATAGTTGTTCAAAATAGTTAATAAATCATTCCACTGTGTGCTATAGGTCAGTAAAAAATAAAAAAACACAGTTTAAAAGGGGAGTGATTAGTCAAATATGCATAAATAAAAAGAAAGAATGCAGACTAGGTAAGAAAGATAGGAGTATATCAGTTATATTTATTGCTTGTGAGCCTATTCTAATGGTTTTTCGAGTATTGAAATATATACAGTTCTGTTTCATATGAGTGTTGAGAGCTGTATCCATACATCTCTTAATTTGTGCACCAGATTGATGCCTTTAACTTCAATTTAAAGAAACAATCTTCCTGGGGGTGCATGCCCCCAGATCCCCCTAAAGCAGTGGTTCCAACCTGGGGGACCCCCTTGGGGGGGGGGCGCCAAACATCGCAGGTGTGCGCCAGGCCTCAGATGATTTGAGGCCTAATATCATATTTAGACTTTTTGTTTTTACATATAATTGTTACACAATACATGATTGTCGCTAAAAGCCTTGTCTCTACATTACAATAAACTATAACAAAATTGATTAATTAATTAAAATAAAAATTCAAGTTAGTAGCTAATAAACGGGCGGTGGCTTGGCAACTGGAAGGTCACCAGTTCAAGTACCGGAAGGACCAAGTGCTACCGAGGTGTCCCGAGCAAGGCACCGTTCCCTAAAAACTGCTCCCCAACTAGTGGGCAAATAGCAGGGGCAGATGGGGCTCATAGCCATGGAAGGCAACCCATCTAGGAGAAGAACATTCTGAACTAAAACCAGGACTGAGAGGAGTTGCGCCCCCTAGTCCTTAAATCAGCATAGTAAAGCCAACCATGAAGAACAGAGTCATCCCAAATCCTATACTTCCAGCGGCGGGATACTTCAGATTCATCCAGTTTGTGACAGTAGTTGTAGCATTTTTGAGACTTTTAAACTTAATTACAGCTGTTGCCTTGATGTTCCCCCCCCCCCCCCCCCTGTTTGTGTGTGTGTGGTGGGGGGGGGGGCGCACTTCCAACAACAGGAGTCATTTGGGGGGGCTCTCGGGGAAAAAGGTTGGGAATCCCTGCCCTAGAGGGTGTGAGGTCATCACAAATAAAACAGGTTCACATGGATAGGATACTAGATAAGTTTGCACGCTCATTATATACACTACACATTTTTCTTGGATTAGTTAACACCATAGTCCCTAATATATTTGTAGAAAGGCAGGAAATGGGATTAAATCGAGAAAATGTTTCATTGCGGAGAAACCCCTGTTTTGTCCCCCCCCCCACTCTCAAACCAAAGTTACACCCTTGGGTGTGTTTTTATGTTGGTGTGTGTGTGTGTGTGTTTTCACATTTGTGTGTTTCTGTTCTAATGCTATCCTTCTGATTATCCAATAACTTAATCACTAGCGTTAGTTATCCCGCAGAGAGGCATGTCTCAGGGACGAGGGACACTTTTATTCTGCCAGCGTTCCTTTCACCTCGTTCAGTTTCTAATTGAAAAGTGTTAGACAGCTCGATACCTCTTCAGAACCATACACATGCCTTGACAAAAACAGTATTTCAGGTGTCAATCCAGTCGTGGTCCCTTTTTATGCTGCTTGCAGCGCTGAGGGTTAGAGTGACAGAAGCTAACCCTGTTTAGCTTCCTAGCTCTTTGAAACATGCGCCCGTATATGAGAAGCTTTTATCCTTTTGCTTAAGAGTTTGGATCCAAAACGAGATAAAAAGCACTGTAAAGACGCTGTTGTATTGCTTGCTTGATAAATAAAATCAGCTTGTACTGAGCAGGAAATCATTAAAGAGCTATTTCGAACACTCAAGATGCTGCAGTTTCAAGATCCTCAGTGAGGAAGCATTAGCCATTCAGCTAACGTAGCTTCTGAACAAAGTGTTATAATCAAAAACAGCTGCAGGCTGACAAATAATTATGCATCAGAGAGCTATCAGCTTAGCTAACACAACAATGACATTATTGTGGTGTTATTGTGCTGTGTGTGTGTGTTAGCCAATAGTAGTGAAGCCTTACGGGCATGGTTCAGTGACGTCATAGGGAGACGACATGTGATGGTAACGGAGCATGTAAGCTAGGGGTGTTCTAGCATGTGAGCGACCAATAAAGAGACACGTAATTGTGACAGTTGACTCCACATGTATTATTGAATAACACAACAATTATCACCGGCATTTAACCCTTTCATGCATGAATTATGAAAGCCTCAGTCAGGATTTTTTTACCAAGTGTTTTTATTGCTCTTGGTGCATGAAAAACAAGATTTGAACTTTTTTTTTTTAATCTAGTTTTTTCAAAGAGATTTTTATATGTCCACTCAGGTGGACATATGCGTTCAGGGTTTGAACTGAAGGATGTACATTTTGAAAAAATGATAAATAAAGATGTGCAAACTTAAAATTACATTATAATAACATAAGTATGTTGATTTACGGCCCAAA